CTATATATATATATATATATATATATATATATCGTATGATTCCGTTAAGCTTGGTCATTTACCTTTGTGGCCTGTGTTATAAATATTTTTGTCTAAAAATTTACATTTATTTTGCCTCAAAATGGTATAGGGCTCTTATCAACTGATCAGGATTATCGATTTTGCAGAACATGAGGGGGGGGGGTATATTTTCCTTCTATTTTGCAGTGAATATGATGTTTCAAAGATTATGATCCAGATTTAGAAATGAATAAAAGAAATGGATGGAAAAGATTTTCGAACCTAGGTTAGAACTCATTTTGGGCAAACAATAGGTAGGTGAAATAGGCCAATTTCACATAAACACGATCAATTCATCCAAATCACGTGTTGTTGTTAGATTCAAAAATTTATTTCAGCCTAATCTAATTTAATAAATTGGTAAAGTTGCATACACTAAAATGAAATTATTAGAAGCTATGGAGTGAAAATAAAAGTGAGTACAAATGATCATCCAATTTCATTTTCTCTCAATATTTATATAAAATGGCAGGCGTCTTGATGGTTATCATTAGCCCTTTAGTTGACTTCAGGCTTCACAGAGGGGTGGAGGAACATCAAATTGAAAAAAGTCGAGAGGGGGGAGGGAAGAGAAGAGTGTTTCAAAGTTGTAAGAGACAAACACAAAGGTAGATGAAAGGTGAGGTGAGTACTGTAAATAGTCGAATATGGCATAGAGTGAGATGATGGCTGTTTGAAGTGAGAAGTCAACTGCCAGTTAATAGACTTTTTTTGAAGTGAGAAGTCAACTGCCAGTTAATAGACTTTTTGACGTATGAGTTGAAGTCAGAAGTCAACTGTCGGTTAATAGACTTTTTGCTGAAGTCAGAAGTCAACTGCCGGTTAATAGACTTTTTGCCATGAAGAGAAGTCAACTGCCGGTTTATAGACTTTTTTGCCGCTTTGAAGTGAGAAGTCAACTGCCAGTTAATAGACTTTTTTCCCGTATGAATATACGTTGCCCAGGGTGCACCACGTGACTAAATTTCATTTGAATCTATTCACCTTAACTGACCTCAATTACGAAATATTTTGAGAACATTGGAGGTCAATTAATAATTCATCTCTATTATGCCTAATTTATTGGCCTAATTTCGATAATATTTCAGATTACAAAACATATATTAATTCTCCTCATTTTGAGTATAATTTTATTGCCCTACAAATATTTAACAAATCCTAATCTATATTGATATCATATATAAATTTGCAGTTATTAAGAAATTGGTGAAACAATACCGTTCTCTGTTTAACATCAATTCCCCTAATGGCCATGAGTTAGGAAGCGGTAGCTCATCAACACTTGGAATTGTTTAATTATTCAATTGCGCTCGTGATATTATCGCCTTGTCATGTAATTTTGCAGCCACAGCCTCACCACCACCATCATCATCATCATCGCCATAATTTCAAGCAGTTAACCAAGTGCATAACAACAGCAGGAATGCCACTAAATTGCAGCCTATGCATATCGATTTTGCCTCCCACACCGCATTGCATTGCGTATCAAAAATATATATATGCGCGTCTGAGCTTGTTTAGGAGGGTAGGCGATGCGCGGTAGACTCGAAATTATAGCGCGTGGCGGAGAACTTTTACTCAATCTCCCCTTCCATCCCTGGGGAATTCAACATCTACTCCTCCCCCCCCCCTCCCTCCTCACTCCCTACCCCACCCCCACCCCCTTTGCCTACACCCCATCATAATTAATGGAATTCCGTAGTGGAGAAGGTAGTTGAAATCCTTAATGTCCAGCGGAAGGACATATATGATTCCTGTTGTGATAATATGCGTGATGCAAGCTAACTGGTTCTTTCCCTCCCCAATTAAATTCCCCCCCCCCGCACTCCCACCATCCCTCTTGTGGCGACTACATGAAGACTGTTGACGTTATTGGGAAGGAAAGGGAGTAAAGGTGGGGGGGGGGGGAGGAGGTTGGACAAGGAATGAAAACCGACATGCAGTTCTGGGAGAACGAAGGGAGTGGAAGTTAAGCAGAGATGAAATCTTCGTGTACAATTTACAAACACTCTTCCTCTCCTCCTCTCTCCCCCCCCCTCAAACTCTCTTTCCTTCATGGTGGGTAGCTTTGTTGCTAACATGGGTCGTTAATAGAATAATTTTCTGCCTATTTTATAAAATACTGGTGCTGTAGCAATTAACGATGTGAGATAAATGGTTGCGTCTAGTTCAGTGAAATATGAACCCCTCGTGATTTTGACTCGTGATTGAGGTTCTCAGATAGGGAGATGGTTCTAGACGAGACTGGGAATTACAAAAGAGGGTGAAAGAAGAGGAAGCGTAGAGTCTGAAATGCCAACAAATAAGGTGATCCTACATCATCTTAATTCTTCTTTCTTTGAATCAAAACTAGAATTTTCAGATGGTATTGAGACTGAATCTCAGTACTTTTCACTGATAGCCCAGATTTTTTAGCTATATAGCTAATTGAAAAGTGAAAAAAAACTGAGAGTTTGAAATGCGCATCTCATAATGACATCCTTGGTCAACTTGGGTATTCAGCTTCCTGCTATTCAATTTATTCATTTATTTATGTCAAATGGCAGGCGTTTTGATAGTTATCATTAGCCCTGGAGCTGACTCCGGGGCTTCTTTAAAATAAAGACAAAAAAATTCATATTTGCACTTCTATGTATTTTAATCAATGTCTCATGGCTGGCACAAGTTTTTTTTGCAATGTGCAATACTAATAATAAGAATAATAATTGGAAAAAAGCATTAGTTCCAATGTGCTCGTATTGTTCATTGCTCTCCAACTAATGCTGCAATACTCAAAGGCAATAGGGGTTTATCTTCTGCTCCCTTTGAATTGTCTTGGCTTGTGGAAGTGCCTGACGAAGAAGTTAACTTAGGATTCTCATCACAAGTGACTAAATGCCTATTTAGGTATGATCGTAAGGGGAAATCTCTTTTACAATATGTGCATTGATAGAGCTTCTTAGATGAATGTGTTTGCATATGAGCTCGAAGATTGGATCGATCAGCAAAAGCTCTCCCACAATGAGCACATCCGAAAGGTTTCTCCCCCGTATGGGCTCTAAGGTGGCCCTGGAGGAGCCATGGACGACTGAAAGCTTTTCCACAAATAGTGCACCGATGTTTCATTGTATGGGTCATTATATGCATGGAAAGAGCTGGCATTGAGACATAGACCTTCCCGCAATGTTCGCAACTCTTTGCTTGTTGGCTATCCAAACTTCGATGCGTCTGTTTGTGTCGGCTCAGGTTGGAAGAAGTTGCATAGTCTTTGCCACATTCACTGCAAGTATAACGTTGTACAGCGGACGATCGCGTTAGAGGGGTCGAAACGCGTGAAGTACATGCAGATGAATCTGAAGATAAAGGAAGGGAGGTAGTTGTAGAATTTTCGCTCGAGTCCATCTTCTTTCGTCTCTTTGATCGACCATCCGAGACGAAGAAGGAATCATATGTATATGCAACAGTGACTCCTGCTTGAAACCCTGACCTTCTATGCTTACGGTCATTTTTGGCTGAAATCGGAGTGCTGTGAAGCGCTGGAGAGTGTTCCTGAAACGAAGGCATTTCGGAAGATTTCGGGGATGGATTCGGCGGATGCGGTAATTGGTGTAGTATGTTATAAAAGGAATCTGATTGGTCTTTCGACGCTTGTTGCTTATTAATCGATAGGTCGATACCATCTGCCATAAAAAAAGTAGAAAATAATAGGTGAATTCAACAGCAACTTTCATTCTGATTTGCAATAAAAGAAGGATAATTACCCTTTTCACATCGGCTCTATTACCGATGGAGACGGTCATTAAGTGTGCTACACCATCATATCCCCTCCCCCGTCGATTCATTTTAGTCCTAAATCGGATTCAACTTGCGTGGCGCTTAATAACTCCCATGAATTAAGGAGTAAATATTTATAATAGCCTAGAGTAAATTCAGCTTGGGTGGGCACCTAGGAACGCCACCCTAAATCCCAACAGGTAATACTCGACGCTCGAAATGTAGTTGGGAAAAGTTAAACACCCTTAATCACTGGCTTGGAAACTAGTCTAGCAAGGGAATTGAACCCTATTATGGGCAAAAATTCGGATTTAATTGAAGATTATCTTGGTAGGAAGGGAGATAATAAACTTGTCAAATCGATGCACGTGAACTTGTCAAATGACAAGATTTTATGATCAGTTTCCGCTCCGCTCCACCCTCCCTCCCTCCCGCCCATTTAGCATGACCTGGGTAGGCACCTGATGTCTCTCTCTCTCTCACTCTAGGGTCATCATTACCTGTTTGTATGGAGGCAATGCCAAAAAAAATCGTGGTATAAATACTACTTGTGACCTCGGCGGGGTGCATGCTTTTTTAACCCTAATAAACGCTGCATTTTAATTGCTGCTGCTGCTGCCGCCGCCGATGAAGTTCTAGTTACTATGCCGACCTTCTGAGATGACTGCAAAGCCAAATTAATGAACAGGCTGCAAATTATCACAAGCTTGATGCTTCAAAAGGAGATGAATGGACAAGACGCAGCATGTTCATCGTAACCCAACGTCAGAGGTCGACATAAGAAGTACAAAATGGCTATAAATAAATCACCTAGTTATGCAATGAATTTATCTCCTTAATCTTATTACATGAGGGGCAAAAGTGTACTCTACGTGTAATGGTATATTGAGAGCAGTAGAGCGACCCAGGCTTAAAAAGCCATGTATTGGTAACGCTTTGAACTAAACTACTAATCCAATTCTGTAAAATCTATATCTCTCTAACTCTCACCCCCTCTCCCTTGAAATCTGTTAGTCATCCACCCTCCACAATGAAACAGGTTACAAACGCTTAATTTCCCCAATTATTCTAAATGGGTTTCCTGTGAACGCTTGAGGTTTTATCATTTAAGCATAACTTGAACGAACTGGAAAACAGTTATATGAATCACAAATAGAAACAGCTAGTTTGACCAGAGATCACCTGGGGGCATTAAAGTGGAGCCCTTTTGTTAGTCCACTCATCTGCTGATGTACGTTTCGGTGTCCGATATGGGCAGAAATCAAATCAAGAGCTCATAGAAAATATTTATCCTACTCACTGCCAACGTCCAGAGGGTTTCCCTAGAGACGACTCAAACAGTAGTGTTGGTGCAGAAGGCAGGTGGCACTCATCCGATCTCAATGGATAATCTCAACTTCTTTGTCCCCATTATGGGAGAATGAATTGAATCTGTGCTGTGATGTGAAAGGCAGCTGGTTATGGTAGGGGCGGTGGAAGTTGAATCCACACACCCCACCCCCTCTCCCCCCCCCCCACTCCCCTGTTTCTCCTGTGGGATTTGGGCACGTATATGGTGAGAAGGGGTCAGTGTCGCGTGTCACTTCGGATACATCCACGACACGCCACCGGGCCTTCGGTAATTATGATTTTGGGAGATTTGAATCAATTGCTACAAATCTTGTCCTCTAGACACGTGTTGAGGAACATAATTTTTTTTGGACTAATGCAGCACGCGTGTGAACTCGATTATGATTTGTAGCGGTTGCTTTCTGCGGCTAAAGTGATACTTTAAGGTCATTCTGAATGACAAGCATAAAGTTAAACATTTCCTTTGACAGGAATTTCTAGTTGACATCCGTCCCGGTTTGATAATCACATGTAAAGTAACTGATTGCCAATGTCAAAATCACTTGTTGGATAAGACCTTTGTCAAAAGGTAAGTGTAGCGTTTCTCAATTACAAATATTTCATAAAGACGCCCGATAATCGACAAAAGCTAAGTATGTAAGTTGCCATTAAAGGCATTAAAATTATGGAAGTAGAATATACCGAAAGGGCGCTATGGTCAAGCGTTTTAGTGAATTCAGGAGAGAAATTCATTGATGATGAAGAAACGCGTCATTTAAAACCTAACTAACCTGGCACTAAATATAGCAACGAATAAGCTATACCACAAAAAGATCGTTCAGTTTCCATTACCTTCGAAATACATAATAATGGAATTGTCAAGACCGTCCAATATATTTTCGAAAAAGTCAAAAATTTTTCCTGTATGGAAGTTGTCTAAACAAGGTGTTTCAATGATTTAAAGTTAATCACCCATTCGAAAACAGTTCTAAGCCTTTACTATTTACCTTACTTTAAATAAATTAATGATTAAAAGTGTGAAAATTACTCACTTTCTGGAGGAGCTGCTATTGGTGAAGCACTGGACCGGGTGGTAATAGGCAACAAGTGGGTATTAGCATCGGTTTGAAATTGTAAGCGAAGAGCCTCGATGACTTGTGCAAAAGATTCCTCATTAAGGCTATAGGGCAGTGGTGGCGGGAGGAAATTTGGAATTCCAGTAAACGGAAAAGGTTGATTTTGCTGACTTGGATAACTAAGAAGGGGAGGCATAAATGATGTGATTTGATCATTTAAAGGATTTGGCGTCGGGAACATCATTTTGATGGTCACGTAGTAATGATGATGAAAATAAATCACTATCTTCAAAGTAATTTGTTCAAGATAGGAAATACGTAGCGTTCAGATAGGCACGCTTTATCCATGTCAAGAAATTTATAGCTCTAAACGGGCTTTGTTGAGTTTTGATTGGCCACTCACTGCCATTGGCCAATCATAGTACGTGCATTGCGTGCGAAAGTGAATGCGGGTATTGGTCGGCAAAATATGCTGCTTTGCGTTGCCGAACTCTGCTAAACTGATTATAATCGTGAAAATTCCAACTTTTGATTGACTTTATTTCGTGGCAGCTATTCTAAATTCAACCTAAAATTAAGAAGACTTTTCTCTGCAAACAATTGATTTAAAAATTTATTTTTTGCGTATATTGGTTATGCAAAACTTATTTATAATTAAACAAAAGCAGACACGAACTTAATAAAAATCGGAACAAATTCGAACTCATTGACCCTGTTCTAAGGTCAAAGAAAATCAGGTTAATGACCAAGAGAGATAAATTCCATTTACCTAATTATATGTCTCTGTATACTGAACTCAAACCACTTGCATGTGAGGCTCATACATGCATGTAGATGACAGATGTCTAAGATTGCAACCACTTGACATGCACAAGCAACCCCACATTTATATGATGCATTCACTTCCACTCTATGATTTTGAGAAATAATTCCAGCAAAATACAATATTATACAGATTAAAAAATTGGCTGGAATACGCTAATTAATGGAAGATTCTAACATCGTGGTATGAGCTTAAAGGAAATGTGGTTTTCTTATGGTCCAAATGCCGAATTAGTTTTTCTATTTTGGGTGAGTAGATGCTGTGCCATAATTGAAACTTACTTAAAAATTAACTGGAGCAAAATTTAACCATTTCAAATGGCGGGCATTTTGATAGTTATCAAAAGCCCTTTAGTTGACTTCGGGCTTCACGGAAGGGAGGAATATTGAAGTGATAAAAGAAGAGCGATTCACAGATGTAAAAGACAGACAGACACAAATGCAGAGAAAAGGCTAGATGAGTACTGTGAAAGGGGTCGAATATGGCATAGAGTGGGGAAGATGTAGAAGATACAGACACAAAGGTAGAAAAAAGGTGATGTGAGTACTGTGGAAGGGGTCGAATATGACAAGCAGTCGGGCATGAGTACTGTGAAAGGGGTCGAATATGACATACAATGGGGGTCATGGTAGTTTGAAGTCAGAAGTCAACTGCCAGTTAATGGACATTTTAGCCGTATGAGTATACGTTGCCTAGGGTGCACCACGTGAAGGTAAGTCTATCGCACACCCCACTTATTTTATAATCACTGATAGCAAAGGCAAAGGATTAGTGATCAATATTTCAAATTTTTGATCACGGCGTAGCATGCAAACATAGTAGTCGGTAATATGGGAGAAGGGGAGAGAAGGAACCCCCAAAATCACGACTACTTTTTCAAGTTGCAGTCTATTAAGACTTATCCCTCCATTTGACAATTTTGTTCATATATTCAAAAAGATGTGAGTGAAATGGCTTCATGAGGTATGGCAGTCATCTACTGGACCAAGGAGTCTGTTAGTTGGTTAAACATCTTCGGATTATGGAAGTTCGATTCACCAGTGCCTTGTCATCTCATTTTATCGTATGCAACTATTGGTGAATTCGATAAGGCCTCCTTTGTGTGCATGCCTTTTACATTTACTTGTTCTTCCAAATGTCATCACCCCCTCCAATAGCATATCTATTTATCATTCATTTGGCGTTTTCAGAAATCCGATTTCAAAGGCGCCTTTAATCTTCATTCATGGATTTGCTCGGCAAAGTTTCTCATTGACAATTTTTAAGATAGAAACAGAGCATTTATTTGCCTTCCCCTATACAATCTTGTATGCTACAAAGAAGAACTTTAAATAAATCATACCCAGTGATCGCAGTGATGAATGATTGTAACACATTTGCTCGGAATTCAATCAATACCACATTTGGTTTTGAAATCGATCGGAGTTTTATTTGTCCAATTAAATTTTATGGCAGTGTTACCTATTACCACTGTGTTTAGTCACGGGTGCGAATGATATCGGAATCGATCTAAGTTCAGTTCATTCTCATTAATCCAGTTTCATAATTGCAGTTCTTTTATTGGTCTGCAAGACTTACCCAATTATTGCAGCGAAAACATTCCGATCTTCGATTACTCATCTACCTGACTTAAGACAATTCAGGTCACAGAGGGTGAGGAAGGGAGGCTCGAACAAAGCTACGTAAGGAGGTGCAGTCAACACACTTCCAAGACTTCCGGAAAAAGTGCCCACAAGACTTGATGCCAGTTGAGGGTGGGTATCTTGAAGCCGATCTGGAATCGAACTCAATTTCCACCTCTGGAAATGCAGAGAAATTGCACATAATAGTTACAAAACTAAAGCACACATTTAGACTCAAACAAGCATGTATTCATCGCATTCAATTACGGAGCACTCTCAATATCGGAAATTTTCTTTTGAAAACACGACGTATTATAGGTTACCAAATATTGCATTTTCAAAAGAATTTTAGCGATAATTTTCTATCAGAAAGCAAGAATCGTCTCCATTGTGGCAGGCGATAAGTATATTCACAGGTAAATATAGGTGATTGCTTGGTAGAGAGAGATTTGATGATCCGTAATCATGTCTGCTTTACCACAACCACAGAATATTGCTCATTAGGTAATGATAGGCAGCCTGTCCAAGTTTTCAAGATTATGTTGTCTTTGTGTATCAATCGGAACTGCGAAAACCCCTATCTTTTAGAGCCAGTGGTTTTGAAAACTGACAGAACTCGACTAGTGGGTTTGGGGCTTGAAATCAAGAATTTCTATAGAACTCGGTCTATGATTGGTTTGCCTGTGCTTTTGATATCTTTGCAGACCGTGGTATTGAAGAGTTTTCACTAGGTTGAAGATTATCTATTCTACTGAACTTGGAGCAGATTTCTATTGTAAAGAATGGGTGAATCAGATCAAATCATCATAGCACAGAGTTTGAATGATGTTGAGGAAAATTCGCCTCAATGAATCTCGACATTTTTCTCTCTAAGCGAGAGTACACCACCAAAGGCCATAACAGTATATATCTTAACTTGAACATCTCGAAGTGTAACAGATGTCCAATCTTAGATAAGGCTGTTGGCTCTTTTGTTGAGAATAGCGCATCTCTTGTGAATGAGTGCATTGGAGGCAGAAGGCGATGCTTGTGAATACGCACTGGGGCCGTGGTGGGTGGGTGAGTGAGGGAGGGAGGAAGGGGAATCAGATATTCGCGTACATCACACATTCCCCTTCTTCCAATTTTTGAGCCTTCCCATCGACTGTCTCCAACCTCCCTCCCTCCCTCCCTCCCANCCCCCCCCCCCCCCCCCCCCCCCCCCCCCCCCCCCCCCCACCTCCCTACTCAATGTACCCAACCACCCCTTTCGAGTATTGTGTGTATGCGTGATAAAGTTGAGCCCTCGTAGATCGAAATGAAGATAAGTCTTTCACCCGAAATGATTTTCACCTGTCATCGCGGGCAACTGGTCTGAATAGAAGTGGGGGTAGGGCTGTGAATTGTATATGTTTTCCCAAAAGCTCCTCTTGATTCTAAAGCGGTAGTCAGACTGGTCGAATAATTAATTGTGAGTAACCTTCAGGGGGGAAATTGCAATTAAGTTGATAAATAAAAGACACCAAGATTAATGTCGGGTTTATGATCTGGCTATAAATCAAGGCTCGAATATAAATTTAACACCTCTGTGGAGTGGGGGAGAGCTGTAATCCTTTTCTTTAGGTGATAACTCATGCCCAACCTCTGCTTCCATTCTAGCTGGTTAGAAGTAGCGATTAGTTCTCCTCATTATCTCCCACCTCTCACCCCACCCCACGTGGTAACCATGGCTCAGACTGAGATCATCATCTACGGGCCGTTGTCCCGCGACACTTTCCTCACTGCTGCCTGTGTGTCCTTGGTGGTGGACATTGCGAGGTGGCGAGGTGAGTGTGGTTGTAGACGGCGAGGTGGCGTGCACTTGAGGTCTGCTGCACTTCTGTGGAGTGGGGGAGAGCTGTAATCCTTTTCTTTAGGTGATAACTCACGCCCAACCTCTGCTTCTATTCTAGCTGGTTAGAAATTGCTATTGGTTCTCCTCATTCTCTCCCACCTCCTACCCAAGCACAGAGTTCGTACTGCCTCCTCCTTCCAACCGCCCACCCACCTCACCCCACCTGGTAACCATGGATCACACTGAGATCATCAACCATTCTAAGAATTCCATTTTTGAACATGCTGCATCGAGGAGACAAACGTGACAAGCGGTTTCCAAGTTCTAGCAGACCCTAATTGAGGACACTTGTATGCATACGGATATTCATACTTTTAGAACAGCATTCTTCAAATTCTAGCGTCTCATTCATTCACGCAGACAAGTTGACGACTCCTTTTTCTCACTATCTTGTATTGCACCGCGTTGTCTTGGTTCCGGAAGTCTGGAAAGAAAGCTTGGAGATGATATAGCAACTTGATATCACCACTTTCCCATTGACCCTCTTCTTATAATTGAGCAAAATAGGTGTTTTTTTAATCAAGCAAATGAGAATAGTCCATTTAAAAGTATAAGTGAAAAGGCGAATTTCTACGAAAGCGAACAAATGAAAAAAGTGTGAATTTGTGAGTTTGTAGGAAAAGTTCGTGAAAATAAAAGAACATTCACTGTAGTTTAAATATTAGCTAAAAACTGAGATTAGGTTAGTATTTCGAGGTGTGTTGTGATAACGTATTCGCCTCCAAAACGCTTTGAGCTTGGGGAATAGGTGGATTGTTTCAAGGGTTCCAATGAATATTTCCTATTCTTTTTGGAAGGCCTTAGGCAATTCCTTCTCCACGTGATCAAACTAACTGACTAACTACGTGGATTGGGTAGACTCATAGGAGGAAAATGTGTAATAAATTCTTAAGCAGCATTTGGTTGGCACAAGACGTTAAAATGGGGAACTTTATGGTTAAGTAAATAAATCGGATTAAAGGTCTCATCTAACACCCTCTCTGCTCTCCCCCCCCCCCCCCCCACCTCACGACCCACAGCATACAATCCTTTTAGGCATATGGGGTTCGAAGGCTCACCTTCTTAAGGTGCTATTACATATTAAGAAAACATCCCATTCCCTCAACTTGATCTCCTTTACCTAAATACCCTAATGCCCCCAACATTCCTTCGCACTACCCCAACCACACCCCTCGCAATCTTTTCATATGCTTATTTAGGAAGAAATGATTGAGATTCCGAAAGGATTGGCCATTCATTCTCCTCATTCACTTTTATTGACACAATTACTGTTAAAATTCAAAAAATGCAATAATATCAATCCAGTTAGAAAGGCGCCGTTCAATATCCCTTTATAACCGTTCCTTGATATGCAATTTAGAAGCATATTTGCTTCCCATAGCTGAACACAGATGCTCGTGTATTATTTGAATTATTAAGTCAAGTATCACATCTAAGACTGGCTTAGTCCAGAACGGTTCACTAGCGGCTATCCAGATGGAAAAAGCGGCGCCTGTTGAAGCATGAACCATCGTCTCACTTCTCACCCTCGGATAAGCCGAGGATCCTGGAAGCATATTTATTTATTTCAAATGGCAGGCGTTTTGATAGCTATCATTAGCCATTTAGCTGACTTCGGGCTTCATAGGGTGAAGGAACATCAAAGTAGAAGAAAGGCGAGGAGTGGGGAACAGTAGAGCGATTCACAGATATAAAAGAGGCAGACAGACACAAAGGTAAAGAAAAAGGTAAGATGAGCACTGTGTAAGGGGTCGAACATGACATACAGTGGGGTCGTAGCAGTTTAACGTCAGAATTCAACTGCCAGTTAATAGACTTTCTTGCCGTATGAGCATACGTTGCCCAGGGTGCACCACGTGGAGGTAAGTCTATCGCACACCCCTCCTGAAAGTATATCGTTTCTTGCGATTTTGTGATTATTTAAGCTGTTTCAAAGTGTGTCAGTGTATATTGCATGCTTTAGTAAAGAAAATGTCATATTCAATACTTTCTAAGATTGATCATTCTCACTGGACGAGTTCAAGCCCTCCTATATGTTTAGATATTCATGTACTGGTAGAATGTGAAGTTAACTGGGCAATCAATCGATTTCAAAGTTACTGGTAGATTATTTAAAAGGTTATTATTATTATTACTTTATCAAATGGCAGGTGTCTTGATGGTTATCATTAGCCCTTTAGTTGACTTNTAGCCATTTAGCTGACTTCGGGCTTCATAGGGTGAAGGAACATCAAAGTAGAAGAAAGGCGAGGAGTNTAACATGGCTGAACAAGGAAATCTAATGGGCAATCAGACAGACTCAAAGTTGCTGTCGCGTAGGGAGCAAATGCGGTGATGAGCGCAGGAACCTCTCAGCCAACAGCCAATCAATTTATTTATTTCAAATGGCAGGCGTTTTGATAGTTATCATTAGCCATTTAGCTGACTTCGGGTTTCACGGAGAGGAGGAACATTAAAGTGGCAAAGTGTCGAGAGGGGGGGGGGACAGAATAATGATTCACAGATGTAACAGAGACAGACAGACAAAAAGGCAGAGAAAAGGTGAGATGAGTACTGTTGAAGGGGTCGAATATGGCATACAGTGGGGTCATGGTAGTTCGAAATCAGAATTCAACTGCCAGTTAATAGACTTTTTTGCCGTATGAGTATACGTTGCCCATGGTGCACCACGAGGAGGTAAGTCTATCGCACACCCCTACAACCAATCAATAGTCACTACATTGTTTAACAATACCTTAATGATATTTTAATGAATAACCTATGTGCTAGTGTTACACACCACGAGAAACGCTGTTCACATCAATAAACTCTGTCTCCTCGATACTTAACTAATTTCGGGAACCATTCCATACTAAGTGATTTTGCTATAGAGATTGCTGAGGTATGGTCAAGGCCTATTAGTTTAACAATCTGCTACATGCTCAATTCACTTCATTTTCTCAATTCTCTCTAAAATAGTCAATTTTCTCGCATTCTATATTAGCGTGAGGTTGTGAATAATTTGAAGGAATCATGAATCAGGAGATAAATGTATCTAAAAGAACTATGCACTTGTATATATTGCCATTGATGGGATAGTTCATGGAGCATAGGAGGAAGATAGGCCTTGGAAACGTAAATTTAAAAGGCAGATTTTTATTTGTTACAGAGTATTACTTTGGTGTTGAATGTACTTCCCATGCCGATGTCAAAATTCTTTTAATCTATAATTTAAATATCCAAATTTTCAATTCTAATCTGAACGATGGTATCTGTCTATCTCACTAACCAACAGCGCCCCCTATAAGGTGATAATTTAGAGCATTTTGGTAATAAAGAAATAATTTATGGCATTGGTTTAAGCAGTTCCGTAAACCACTCCTCAGACACGTTGTTTCAGACACCATAAATAGACAACAGTACAGAATTGTTTCTTCTGCCGGACTACCATAGTAAACCGTATTAATCGAGTCATTGTTTATGTCTGATTTGCGCGTTTATTTGCAAATATGAATCCATATCGGTAAACCTATTTACATAAATTATCGCTAGTCTATATTGTTCTATGGATGCGAATTTACTGCTTTGCCTACCCCCCNTGACTTCGGGCTTCATAGGGTGAAGGAACATCAAAGTAGAAGAAAGGCGAGGAGTGGGGAACAGTAGAGCGATTCACAGATATAAAAGAGGCAGACAGACACAAAGGTAAAGAAAAAGGTAAGATGAGCACTGTGTAAGGGGTCGAACATGACATACAGTGGGGTCGTAGCAGTTTAACGTCAGAATTCAACTGCCAGTTAATAGACTTTCTTGCCGTATGAGCATACGTTGCCCAGGGTGCACCACGTGGAGGTAAGTCTATCGCACACCCCTCCTGAAAGTATATCGTTTCTTGCGATTTTGTGATTATTTAAGCTGTTTCAAAGTGTGTCAGTGTATATTGCATGCTTTAGTAAAGAAAATGTCATATTCAATACTTTCTAAGATTGATCATTCTCACTGGACGAGTTCAAGCCCTCCTATATGTTTAGATATTCATGTACTGGTAGAATGTGAAGTTAACTGGGCAATCAATCGATTTCAAAGTTACTGGTAGATTATTTAAAAGGTTATTATTATTATTACTTTATCAAATGGCAGGTGTCTTGATGGTTATCATTAGCCCTTTAGTTGACTTCAGACTTCACAGAGAGGAAAGTACATCAAAGTGAAAAAATGTCGAGAGAGGGGGGGGGGAGGAACAGAAGAACGTGTCAAAGATGTAAAAGAGACAGACACAAAGGTAGAAAAGGTGAGGTGAGTACTATGGTAGTAGTCAAATATGAAATATAGTGAGGTGATGGTAGATTGAAGTGAGAAGTCAACTGCCAGTTAATAGACTTTTTGCCGTATGAGTATACGTTACTCAGGGTGCACCACGTGGAGGTAAGTCTATTGCGCACCCCAATCAGCATAAATCAAAGTCCATTTTATTCTCTGGATTCAGCTATTAATCAATAGTAAATCAATTTTTATTGACTACAACTGAGCTTAGGTTCTGATAGAAGAATGACAAATGTGTACAAGTTATTAGGAGAGTGGGTTGGGGAAGCTTGTATCGCTGGTCCATGGCATGTGGATGTCTAGTGAATTCACGCAATGGCGTCGCAACCAATCGTTCAGCGCAACAAACTGACCGATCGCTTCTGTACTCCAAATTGGCATGCAGGATTTTTTCATTTCAAATTT